GGACAGCAGCCGGGCTGGCTGCCTGCGGGTCTGGGGCCGCTCACCCTCGGGGTGTGGGAGCTGCGGGGTGGCTGCAGGGAGGTAACCGTCCCTTTGCCTTTACGGTTGGGTCGTGATGCAGGCATAGAAAATGCTTGTTTACTCGTCACCCGCCCCGTGTTTGTAGTTGGGAAAGTATGAATTCAGAGGCCTAAACTCATCCCACTCTTGGTACAAACGGGTACGTTGAAGGTCTGGGTGACAGCATTGCTCATGCTGGCAGGAGCGTAGTCATAAACGATGCGTTTTGTTTGCCGTCGTGGTGACTTGTTTATTTTGGGGGGGAACGGGGTTACAGTTGTAGCTGAAGAAAAAGTGATCTACATGTGCTTCGCTATCCATTGGAAGAATGACAGATGACAAAGATGTGCTTCGAGATGTGTGGTTCGGACGAATACCAACGTGTTTCACTCTGTATCAGGATGAGATAACTGAAAGGGAGGCTGAACCTTACTATGTGAGTATAACGAAGCTAGTCACAGATACTCCAATGCCATAGTTGTGTTCGTTTCCTTCACTGTTATCATGTGGGCTGCTGCATGTTGGGGAAAAAACCCACCTTTTTTTCCTATTATTCCCGGTACCTTCTAAAGGTAAACTGTATGACTGTGCTGATTCGTCTCTCTTCAAACAGCTTCAGAACTTTTAAGTTTGTTTCACCAGTGAGACAAACTTATTACAGATCATTAAGATCTTAAAAAAATGATGAAAAAGTCCACAAGTAATTAGGTAAAAGGAGGAGGCTTTATATGAGTTTGTATGTTCTTGGATAGTGGCTGGAAGAAGGGAAGAAACTTTTATGTACCTTACTACAGAAGTAACTTCAGTCAGAGCTTTGTGCAATCTTAAACACGAAGATCAGTCACTCCCGCAACACAAACTCATAATGGACACTGCCTCCAGTACTTCTGCTCATGGATGACTTTGCTTGCTTTCTTTTCTTTAAATGCTCTCAGCCACGAGAGCTCTAACTCAGACATAGGAAAAGCAGCTATAACGTCTTAACAGTACCGTGCCTGAACTGGATTGCTAGTTGGTGGTAAAAATGGGGGTTGTAAACCGGAAGTGCCTTCTGTAATCATGCAGTATTTATTTATAGTGCATTCAGCATTTTTTATTCTTTCACCACCTAATAGACTGATGGAGAATGTTAGCTGATTGAGTGAAAAATATGAAGAGTAACAAGTACATGGGAGGAAAAATCTTGTACTACGAGTTTTTATGTGATTCTGAAATCCTTAGTCTTGTCATATTCTATTCTACTCTTTTGGGGAATATTACTGGATGGAAGTATCTTTTTTCTGTGTTAATAGCATATCTTTGTTGTCAGTTTCTGATTTACATGTATATTCAGTGGGTTTTTGAAACCTAATAAAGCATTAATGCTTTTTGTTTGGTTTCACTACTGGTAAAACAGAAGCACTTCTACTTCATGGGGTTGACCTATTGCCAAGTGCAACTGAGTTATCTAGAAGTCTCAGACTTTATATTTAATGTGTGAGAATACAGGTTTACACATATACATATGTATGTATTGTATAAGAGCTACGGGAAAGGTATGAGTTTAAGTATACAGACATACAGTCTTGATCTGTTTGTCTTTGGCATGGAAAGCCCGAAACCATGTTATCTTCATGGTGTGGCCAACTCTGTAAGCCAAGGAGATAGTTTTAGGCTGGTGGACTTTCTTTTATTTACTCTGCTAAAGCGTGCACAAAAATTCTCAAGGCTTAATTTTCTATTTCTGCAAAATTTGGTTATTTGCAGATCACAGTTCTAAAATTTTAGCTTCTTCCTTTTTCAGGTCATGTTGGAGCTGATAATATAGCTTTGCTTTTTGAAGGGACCAAGGATTTAAAATAGTAGAGGGTAGAATAGCAATCAAGGTTTTAGATCACGGTTTAGTTCTCATTGTGTGTTTATGTTAATGTTTTTGTTCACATCCGGAGTACATTTTTTGAAGCAAGTCTTCATCCTTTCCACTTACTGTGGCAAGGTTTGCATCACACGGCAGTCTTACAGCCCACAGACTGAATCATTTTCACATGAAGCTGAAGCAGAAGATGCACTTCAGCTACTAATGGGCTTCTAGTGTGTGGGATCAAACTGGAGTTAAATTGAAGTAAAACCATCAAAATCCCTAAAACTGATGTGGAAAAAAAATATATGTAGTGAGAGTTTCCAGCCCTTTACACCAGCTGTTCAGCCTCACACGTGTCCTCTTATCACACCTCAGTACTTGTTCATACAGTTTTAACCTATGTTTTCCAGACTGTCTTCCATAAATGGGAAGGAAATACTGGCATCATTATGCTAAGAGAGGGGGAAAAAAGCTCCCATTCTGAGGAGCTTGCTTTATGAAGATTGAGGAAGACGTAGGTGCAGAGGGTGAAGGGTTACCGAAACAACCCAGAATCTGTGCACTGGACTTCCGTTTGTTGTGAGCTGTGTGACAGGAGACCCTTGTCTGTTAGCTGTATTAGCATAGCAGTGATTCCTGTGTGTATTGCATTAAGGCACTGCATGGGGGTAGCAGAGCTAATTTAAAATGAGCTTGTCTGTTGTTTTGGAAAGAAAGTATCTCAGGTAAAATACTGTCCTATTTCTTCCTGTAGTCAAGCTAGGTAGGTTTCTGCAGAATTACACTGGAAATGGGTATGTCAAGTTTTTGGGGTGTTTCTCACAGACGCTTGTGTTTGGAGTGGAAGCGTAATTAGGAACAGCTGGGTTGAGCTGCTTTTGTTGCTGAACTACCTGGTTTTTCCCTAGTCCTAAAATTGTTAACAGTTTTTATTTCAGAATGGGGTACTACCTGCCTCTTGGTGCAAAAACCATAAATAAAATGTGCACAGGAAGCAGAGTACTCTTTGGCCGAGATTTGTCGGGTATAACGAATAAAATTAGAGCGGAAGGGAGTCTTAGAATGATACTCTACCCAAGGGACTAGCCTTTGCTGGGCTGCTCTTTAAGCTGCCACCAGCGTGAAAAAGATTTGTTTTATTAAGGTGTCTGTGAAGCCATTCCATGTTAGGATTCTTTGTTTCTTCATCTTGGATACACTGATGATCAGACCAGTCCAGTTTCTGTTAAGTCTAGAATTTTTCTGGTTTATAATCCATTTTGCACGTAAAATGGTGTTTTGCTTTGCAGCAAAACCTGTGGAGATAGCTGGGGGGTGCTCTTTTTTACGCAAAGATACACTGCAAGCATTTACTTAGGCATTCGGAGTACCTTGCGTTTCCTTTAACCTCTATCAAAAGCATTCCTGGTTATTGTGATCAAATACTGTAGCAATATGCAAAAGGAAGGTGTTGCGGTCCGTTTAATTCTGGGGATGGCATGTTCTAACCTATTGGGATTTATTCTGCCTGGTAATTTATTTGGAGATTTCCTTTAGTTTTCTTATTTTAATGAGAACTCCTAATTTTATGTTTGCCCCACCTACCTCTGCCTCCCCTCCATTTGTTTGGTACAGCTGTTTTGGTTTAAGATGAGCATATATAAATTCTGTGCATGTTTTTCACAATTTCTTTGAAAGCTAGAGGTAGAAATCTTATCAAACCCCATTGATTATTGTTGTCTCATTTTTAATCAAGAGCTAGTACCTGTTTATTTTTAAAGAATTAAAGAATTCCGTTGGGTATGCCCACTGACTTAAGAATTCACATATGAATATGAGTTTTAGGGGTTTTTTAATGTTCTTAAATGGTATTTTTTTAATTGTTAGTACTAGGCCATTTGTTTATCTTTTCTTCATTACTGTTGCAATGGTCAACCTGATCCCGGCAGTTTGCAAACATCTACTTTAAGGCTTTATACCATGTGCTCTGACTACTTTAAGGCAGTTTATGCCAGTTTTTTGGTTTCATACTGAGTGGGAGAAAACTCACAGAACTGGTTGCTGGAGGGAAAGGCAACCATCCTTACTCAGTCTTGACACTTAAGCAGTTCACCCCCTGGGTGCTTTAGACTTCTCTTGAATCTTCTTACAGGTCTGTGCTTTCTAGGGGAGAGGACAGATGTAGCTCCTTCTGAGCCACAAAGCTCAACCAGAAGTAGGGTTCTTCATTCTGCAGCATAGTGAGCGGCAAGCATTACACTCCTCTGCCATTGGTCAGCAGGCAGCATGGCAGAGTCACTTGCCAGACAACTTAAATCAACCCTGGGATTCCGTTCTATTTAACTCCTTATGTGTTATATATCATGCACTTTCCTATTAGTTATTTTCTCCCATAAGCTATTTAAATTGGTAACTATTGAATCAGTGCTAAGTATGCACTCAGTCTAATCCTTAAAAACTTTGATACTACCTTGTCTGCTATTTGCCTGTACAGTACTGTAGGTCATTTAATTTATGATGGGCATTCTGTCTTTTAGTGTATTACATAGTGATTTACCAGTCGTATGTTCTGGTTGCAGTTGTTATATTACGTGTTTCCTTGGATGTGGTTGATTTTCATAGCACTGTTCTGACCTTTGCCCCGAAGTTTGCTGATAGAAAGTTATTTGTTCAAAGGGGGTGGGGGGAAAGTGCAGTAGAGCAAATCTGACCTGATGGAATGAGTTTAACTTGGATTAGTATGTCTCATCATACGATCATGTGGGGTTTTTTTCTTAATTGGGTATTACAGCCCTAAAAAGAATTACTCATATGACATAATCACAGCCCTTCACTCCCAGCATCTGGAAGCATTGCTGTAGGGTGACCGAAGGCTGGAAGTGTATCGCCTCACTGGCCTGCACGGGCTGGTTTAGGAGTCTGTAGCAAAGGTGTTTGTGGGAGATGCATCATTCTCCTGAGCACAGCTTTGCCTAGAAGGAAGGCTCCTTGCCACATGGCTAAAGTGCTGGAGAAACCTGTGAGTGTCTAGTAGTCTGGGAGGTGAACTGCTGTCTAGAAGTCTGTTTTATATAGTGGCCTGTATAAAACAGTATGTCTCTGCTGCCAGAAAGATTGGCTAAAGCCCAGCATGTAGTTAAATACATGAAAGTGTTTTTTTCTAAATATTTTTCAGTACCTTTCCTCTGGAAGTGCTCAGTAATAGTACTTAAAAATTACAGGATTTTTTGGAGTAAAAATGTGTTGTCAACTGGTGTCTTGCACTGAGTGTAGAAAACTGGTGAAGGGGTATTAAAAAGGGGAATAAAATGCAAATATCTTTACACTGTTCTTTTAAAGGTTTCATTTAACAGATTTAGTATACCTGTAAATCTCTAGGATAATTAAAGCTAGAAAAGTGATAGAATTGGATCCTTTCATGTCTCTCATGGAAGGGGAAGACCAGCAAGGTAGAAGAGGTAGGAAGACCGAAAAAAAGTTCAGTAGATGCTGCAAATGTTCAGCATCTCTGGAAAAACAGGCGGTCCCTGCTAACCTGATTTACTGTTGGGTTTTGTACTCGAAAGAGGCCCATTGGGAGTGCTGGCCGTGTTCTGTTAAATTCAGTTAAATGCTGCTTGGTTATTGTCTGTGGTCTCTAATTGGGTTAAAATAGAAACAGCGTTGTTCTTCCACACTGCAAGCTGAAGTAAGGTATTTTACAGAGGAAGTTAATGATGCAGTTTCAAGGGTTATGTCGAACACTGTTGCAATCAATAGCGCTTTAATATATTTATCAATTCCTGCCTGGCTGTGCCACATGCAGCATGCTGAAAATTAGCTTTTCTGGCAGTCCAGATGGGTCTCATCGGAATACACTAGCATTAATTTATCTGTAAATATCACAAAAATATTATGGAATTATTACAAAAAATATTTGGGCTTTATTGGAATAGCCTGCACTATATGGTCTCAAGAATAATCAGTGTAGATATGTGGAATTAGGTTAATAAAGAATAAGATTATATTGTCATTCATGTCATTGAGGTACCAAACAGTTATCACTCAAGTGTGTACATGACTTCATTGAATTTGAGATTGTTCACCTTTTAAAACTGAAGGCTGTGTTTAATTACCTTATTGAATTAGACTCCTATGAAAGAAGGTAGAAACAATATGATGATGGTAATAAGAGCAACAGATGGAAAAAGAAAACCATATGGTACATGAAAGATCGTGTTAACTGACTTGATGACTTGGTGGTGGTGAGTCTTGATCTTTTGTAGCTTTATATAACTCTAAAACTTAGTAGTTTCACAGATGTATGCAGATTACTAACCTAATGCAGCATTATGTAAAAGACACATCGTTCTCTTTCATAAGGCCTTACTCTTGATTTGCTTTCCATTCTTCTTTGTGAATCTGATATTTACAAATAAATTCTAGTATCATGTCCAAAATACTGGCTAATTTATATATCAAAGTGTGATCTAATTGTTGGAGAGATTTCGGAAGAATGTTGGAGCAGAGGTCAAGTTTCCTGACAGGTGAAATACATCCTTACATAGTTTGGGATGTTGGTTCCATAGACGTTCACTTAAGGTCTACTATTATCCACACATTATAAAGAAAATGTTTTAAGAAACAACACTGGTTATGGGGAACTCTGGAAAACAAATGCTTCTCTTTCTCTAAATATGCAAGATATAATTTATTTCTATTTAATCCACAGACCCATCTATTTTATTAATAATTAGGAAATGAAAATTATTTTACTGGATCAATACAATTAATTTTAAATGTCTGCTGCGAAGCTAAATGTTATTTTACGGGGGGGTTAATCTTTTCTCATTGGGATACTGAAAGGCATTGTTTGTTAAAGCTTATGGGCAGATTCACCTGAAGTAAATGTGCTCTACATCACATTGATCAGTCAGTACACTGATTGATGCTGTCTGTTTAACTGCTCTTGCTAGGCAGGAGACTTTAAAAAACCAAAAAAAGGCAGGAGAGGGGCCGGAGTGTCGGGATGTGGTTGCAAATAAAAATAACACAGCATTCTGTTTTGGATGGTGCGTGACATTACGCTTGAGGAAGAATAGGTAGTATACCAGAGAGCTGTAGGAAAGTGTCTTGTTTCAACAGATAAAATATTGACAGTTTTCTTTCTGATTTTAGTAGCTGGGCAAAGGTTAAATAGTAGAAGAATCATAGCAGCCTTGACTGACACGTTGAATTGGCAAACCCAGTGCAAAGAAAATGGAAATTTCCAGCTATTGGAAATACAAAACACGCTTGGAAACCGAATCCTTAAGCAACTATAGTTTTCATTCTTTTTTTTTAAATTTTGTAGGAATTTCCGTTTTGATGTAATAGCTGATACACAGTTGCACATTATATTCAATAATAAGTTAGAACATGTTCCTATCTGTTCATATGAAAAAGGTTAAAAACTTCATTCTTTGGCTTGCTTAGATGCAGAAAAGCTGAAATTCAATTCGACTCTTCTCCCTCCCACCACTTTTGGAAGAATCAATAATTTGTTTATTTACTTTTTTTTGTGCATGTTAGTGTATTGGATACTGCTTTTCTGCATATTCTGAGTACATAATTTTATAGCCTTTCATTGGCCATTAATAAGTAAACTGTCTAAAAGATATCTTACGTTAAGGGAGGGAAGAGTGCTGACTGAATTATGATTATGAAAATGCATGACTGAGTTATGATTATGAAAATGCATACTTGTTACAGATTATTATTTAGTAAATTTTATATATACTTAAGTCTTCTATCATTTTTTTTTTTCAGTTGCTTTTGCCAAGGATAAGCTACTTGACACTGGTAACAGACAAAGTGAAGAAACACTTTCAGAAAGTTATGAGACAAGAGGAAGTTAGTGAAATATGGTTTGAATATGAAGGTACACCACTGAAATGGTGAGTTGGTTTAACTGTGCCTTACTCCATTTGTCATGTAAAGAGTTACCCAGTTCAGCAAAGTGTCAGTACTTTTACTAAACTAATCACTCCACTGGGTTTCAAAGATGGCAGAAGAGGAGGGCAAGAAAAGCATGTTGTTTGGGAAAAACAGACTTTAGTGTTGAATATTCATTCATTTTTTAATATTCTGCTTGTACTCGCTTTTGAATATTCATTCAATTTTTAATATTCTGCTTGTACTCGCTACATGTGCAAGGCAGAGGTTGTGCTGCACCTATTGGTTTTGTTCTAGTTGTTACTGTAATACAAAATGCCTGTGGTTTTGGCTTTACCTTTTTTTGCAGTAGGATCACCAACTAAATCTTTTTTTAGCTTATTCTACCACCTTAAAAGATGCCTAATAACACAGACAGGAAGTATTACTTCTGGAGCCTAAATACAAATAGAATATATTCTTAAAGGTAATAAACCTGTGTAAACTCCCCTTTTCACTGGTGTGATATATGATTGTACTGTAAAAATGATAATCTAACACTGATGCACAGGCTTTTGTTGAATTCAATTAGTTCAACTTTATTGAACTGATTGCTGTTAATGCCATTTTTGTTCTGTCATATGGTCTATTGAAAGTATCTTCCTTTTGTTTTCCTGAGAGGTTGGGGAATCAGAATTACATTTTCATATATGTGTTTTTTTCATAAATCCTGTTCATCACATTTTGTTTGTTTCTATTTTTGCCATAAAGAGTTTTAAAGAAAACATTTTGAGAGTTGCAGTGTTTGCTAGCTCTGTAGATATAGCATCAGCTCTCCAGAAACTATTCAGTATTCTAGTGGAAGGCATCCCTGCTCATGGCAGGGATGTTGGAACTAGATGGTCTTTAAGGCCCCTTCCAGCCCAAACCATTCTGTGATTCTATTTTGACTGATGAAGAGATTTTATGTATTTTTATTTTTCTGTATCATAATAGGAAAGAGAACTGCTGGTGACTGGTTTAGCTTCTTGAACCTGGATTGTCTTGCGGTTAGCACACATCACATCACGGAGTCCTTTTAGGCTTGGTGATGCAGTAGAGCTCTCCTAGTGTTTTGTTTCTTTCAGACCAACCTAGTGTAAACCTTGACAACATATAAATAGAAAAAAAGCTAGTTTTTATGCTTTTCACTTTTTCAAAACTGGCTGGCAAAACCAGCTTTAGACAGATATTTAAGTTATCTGGAATTTAAGAATAATTGGTTTCTTGGTGTGCCATAGTGACCTTGAGTCATAGATATCATCTAACTAAACAGCAAGGTACCAAATTTGTCTCGGTGTATAATTAAAAGTTTTCTGTGAAGTTGTAATAAGAAAGGGAAAGCTTTTTATTTCAGCCAAAAATAGGTCTATTTTCTGTAACTTTTCAAATACCATGATGCTTAAACTAGAATTAAAAAGGAGAATGTAATTCTGGAATATAGGTATGGATTAAAAATATAAATTATAGTTCCAAACTTAAGTGAAGAGTTAGTAAACTCAGTGAATATTGAAATGAAAATTAAAATTGTAATTATGATCTAGATGGTAATCCCCTAAATACCTGAAGCTTCTTCCAGGGAAGACCCAAGTACCAGAACTGAGAATTAGATTGAGCTAGTAGTTTCTAAAGAAAGAATAGTGAACGTTAACGTTTAATCTTTTAAAGTATAACATCTACGTTCAGATCAAATAGAACTTGCTAATAATATTGCTCATTCTAATTATTTCCTTTGCACGGTGAGGTCATACTGCTTACAGCCTGTGTGGTTTCCTACTTGCTTGGGAGGTAGTGTATCTCTCTTCCTGCAGCTCTTACGTTTTCCAGTGAGATTTTGAAGGCAGTCTGAAAGATACTTTCAACTTCAAGGTTTAAGTTAAGGAGCTGCAGGAAGAGGTTGTCAGGCTGTGCAGCATCAGAGACTAGAAGAGGAAACGGATCAAATCTTCTGAGAGACCCTGCTGCTACGGGAGCCTAAACCTACAACTGCATTGAAGGAGATGCAGGCAGAGCCTGCAATTACTGGACTGGAAAACAGTCTCCTAGGATGTGGAAGGGCCGGAAACTTGTAATTTCTGGCAACAGGAGGAAGGCTCCTTCTCCACCTGCATTTCTCTTAACTCCAGGATAGGTTCAGTGCTCTGGCTGCGGGTTAAGGACTGAAAGCTCTGTCCAGTGATGCATCTGAGGTGGCTGAGCCTCAACTGTGCAGGGGCACCAGGAGGAAGTGGCGAGTGAAATCAGAGGTCTGTATTCTGCTTACTCTCCTTTATCAGTCTCTACAGGATCTTGAACTCTGACATTTTGTGGTCACTACAGCCACTGATTATCTCATCCAGAGCTATTTTGTCGTGTTAGTAACATTCAGCTGCAGGTCAGCTCTGGTCTGTCTGATGCCCGTGTCAAGAAATCTTGATGACTTGTGTCCCACCATGTTGCTTTTCCAGCAGATGTCAGAGACTGACAAGAACCAGAGTATGTAATGCAGAAACTTCTTGAGTTATTTAAAGAAGGTTTTATGTGCTTCCTTGCTGGGTTGCTGTAACAAACTCAGTATGATGTTGCCCTTACTAGTGTCTCCTCTGATCCTGAACCACAAGATCTCAGCCAAACTGTTATCTGTCCCATTAAGCTTCATACATAGAATCATGGAATGGTTTGGGTTGGAAGGGACCTTAAAGACCATCTAGTTCCAACCTCCCTGCCATGGGCAGAGACACCTTCCACTAGACCAGGTTGCTCAAAGCCGCATCCAGGGATGCAGCATCCACCACTTCTGAGCAGCCTGTTCCAGTGCCTCACCACCTTCTCCATGAAGAGGGTGTAAGCTGCTCTCTCACATGAAAGACAACTCTCTCCCCTCATCAGCCCTGCCTGTCTTTCCTGAGCAGCTTGTGTCCATCCACCCACAACAGCATTCCAGTTTTGCAAGCTGTCTTGCCATATCTCATGTAGCCCAACGCTGTCATGGTTGTTACTGCATGTGGAGCTCTAGTTTCTCCTGCTTGTTTCCCAATCTGTGTGCATTTATGTGCATACACTTGTGGTAGACTCTCTTCTACCCTCTTTTATCATTTTGAGATCTCCCTTGTAGCTGTCACCTTTCACCACCTGCTTTCCACCCATGTCCATTAATTTCTACTTGTCTGTGGGTTGCTATTTTCAGCCCTGTTGTTTATGGTCTAAAGCTTTACTCACCAGGCTGGCAAACCTGAAAGCAAAGGTAGTTTTGTCCCACTTAGGTGGATTCTATCTCTCCCTAGCAGTGCTTTATCCCCAGTGAATGTCTTGTGGCTGTAAAAGCCAAGTCCTTGTTGTCAATAACTGGTTGTGCAGTTCGTGTGACCAGCATTCACACCTCTGAGTCTTTCTCCTTCAGTGGCAAAGTTGTGGAGATGCCACCTTGCCTCTGGAGCTGTTTAGTCACTCTTGATACACTCAAGGGTTCTCTCACAGCACTTAATGATTTGTGCCTGTGGGGTTGAACAGCGAGGGCTGCTAATCCAAGCACAGGACAAACCTTGCTAGGCTGTCTGCAACTTCTTAAGCAGCAGCAAACCTATGTGGGTAGCAAATGAGATTGGCACATGGGGAAGGGCTCTGTTGCCTGTAGGAAGGAGCCTCCTACTGCTATGACTCCTGCTGCTTGGTGTGGCTGTGCTGTTCAGGCTGCTCTGATGCTTCTTCTGAACTCCCAGCCCTTTATCTGCCATTGAGGCACTGACTGCAGTTGGAGAAGGAGCCTGCCTTCTCTCGCCAGAGGTCGCAACACTTGAGTCTTCTGCATCCTGTGAGTCTCCATTCACCACTCCAGTGACTGCAGATGCTTTCTGTGCAGCTGGGAGTCCAGACCCTCATTTCTGCAAGGTCTCAGTGAAGATGCCATCAATCTCTTCATCTTCCCTGACGCTGTACAGTCCACTGACCTCCTGCAGCTCCTTAAATTGGTGACATAGCTCCTCCACTAACACACAGCTCTAGGCAAGGACATCTCTGCTTGCCTCAGCCCTCAGGAGATGTCCCAAGTTCTCCTGGCAGCTTGGCACCCGGAGAGCTGCATCCTCTCAGGAGCTCTGCTGGAGTGAAGGCCTCTGGTGTGCCAGCGGTGGTTTCTTCAGCAGATGCTAGGGCATGAAACCCTACAGCTTGTTACCATCCTATTTGAGCATTTGCACGTGGCCTTCAGCAGAGTTTCTGTCCCCTTTCTGTGGATTCTAGCTCTGGTAGTTGCATATGTGTCTCTAGTACCAGCCAGATGAATGCTTGACCTTTCTTAATCAGGAATCCATGGAACATAAAGGTCAAAGCACCATTTGACAAGGCATAGCTGACTTACTGTTTGAAAATAATAGTGTTTGCTTAAAAGTTTTAAGAAAAAAATATTTCTTACTGACTGCTAAAGGAAAAGGTGAGACTATTTTCTGATGCAGCCAAAATTTCCTGCAGTGAGACCTTTGTTCATAGAAACACCAGATTTTCGGCCACTTCATACACTTAGTACCCCCAAACGTGTCTGGAGCATGGGATTTTTTTTGTCCTGGATTTACCAGTTCATGTGATGTGTCTTACTAAATTACCACGGTAAAGTATTCTGCTCTGAAAACAACCTACCAACTCGTGCTGTCACTTTCTGCCTGTTCAGAAACAAACTGTTAGGAAGGTGGTAATGGATTTTCCTTAGTGTCTGTCTGTCATTTTCAAAAGGATTTAAAGTACTTCAGGTGGTGTTTTCCAGGACTTCTCTCACACTCTGAAACAACCTTCTATATAATAATAAAAGCAGTAATAAATTGCCAATGGCTGGAACTCAAGGTGCTGTTACACTTCTATAGATTGAAGACTTTCTTGAACCAATCTTTATTCTAGCAACTTGTAAAAAGAGATTTTTGGTCTCTTAGACATTTTCTCTTTGATATTTTTCCCATTATTTTCTTTGAGAAAGTTTGCACAGTCTGCCTGTGCTTGGCTCCCACTCTAGTTAAGACCAGGTTGATTAGCTGGCTTTTTGTTTGTTTTCTCTTTTTTTTTGGGGGGGGGAGGGGAGGGAGGGATGGGCAAATCTTTAAAGGCTGTCTTGGGTGTTCAAAATCTCTTTTTTTTTTTTTTAATTCTCCTGATTACTTTAGGTTCTGAAGAACATTTGTGTGTTTCTTTTAATTGCAATGTATATTTTTCAAATAGAATTTGAGAAACATCATTGCAGCAGTACCACTGGAAGCAAGATCTGGCTCATAGCACAAGGTAGATACACACTTAAGAATGGAGTGAGGGGATGTTGGGTTTCTTATTCCATGTAGAGATTGACAGGTCCTCTTTTCTTAACTTCTCTTTTTGTGCCTCCTTTAATTCTCTATCCTGGTTAAGAAACCAGGTTTTATTATGAGAGAAATATGAAGAATATGTTATTATATGGAGTGCTATTATTTCTAGACTATTTAAAAGAAAAAAGCTTGTAATTATCTCAAAAATAAGTGAAACACAGCATTAGGTACAGGTATACTTAAGGCTTTTATTGGCATGAAATTAAATGCCAGTGTGTGAGAACTGGAATCTGGAGCCGGATGTGTCTTATATCTCAGGATTGCTTCATTCCTGTTGTGAACTTTACTCTTAATGGAAGGCTGCGCTTCTGAATGGAAAAAGATTTCTCTTATGGTCTGCTGTCTTCATTAGTCTCATGTGTTCTGCTATACAACAAAATTAATTTAGAGCTGGCCTTTTTCAAAATAAAAATCTATCAACTGTGCAGAGCACAAGGATCTTACTGAGGGAAGGTTGAGTGCATAAACTTCATTTTGTAGTCTAAACTGGGTAGAAAATGTAGAAGTAGACCAAGAGCTGATTGTTTTTTGGTAGCTGTTTTGTTACATAATTTGAGAGTAACTGAGAGTCATTGTTCATGTTCATCTAATTATAAAAGGAACTCTGATGTTACTGAGCTCACCTGGAAAGCCTCTCTTTCACACAACTCTTGCTGACTCCCTGTTGAAGTACTCCAGACATGATTGGCAGTTAGTAGTAAAAAATCTTCGTGGTAAAAACTTGAGCATTGTTAGTGAATCAGGATAAATCTGGATATGCGTTATCTATATTCTTTATTCCTTTTGTCAGAAAACCACAGTTATAGATACTTTCTTGGTATGTCCCCCTATTCGTTCTTTTAAGAAGTTACAAATGCCAATATAGGTAAGTTCAAGAATTGCAGTACTGTTTTGCTCTGTGTTTTATGTTGCTGTTGTGGTGACTTTTGTACTAGCTTTGGGGCGAGTTTACCCATAGAGGGTGCTAAAGCATCGTTGTGTGAGAGTTTAGCAGTTCAGGAAATTGGCTTGGCACAGGTGCTTTCAGAGCCGTGTTCTCAGTTACTGCTCTCTGGACTTTCAAAAGTTATGTACGTTCTTGGCTCTGCATCCTGTCATCCATCCTATTTAATTCAGTGAAGCTTCTGAGTTTACAGTTAAGTGTGTGTTTATCTCTTTGTAGGATGAAAAGCTAGTAAGGCTCTCTTAGTTCAGATTTGGGAAAGATAAGAGGATGGAGCTTGGTATGTGCAATGCAAAAAGAAAAAAATATTTTATCAAAAATTTTTCCAGTGTCTGCTTGTAAGAAAGTTGCAAAAAGACCTTTTTAGAGTGCCTCTAGAAGTTCTGTGTATTTGATATGTATTCCTGGTATTGCTGGAGGCTGTATCTTCTGATGAATTTGAAGGAGACAGCTGTAAGACAAAAGTGAATATTTGGAGGAAGCAGCTTCTTGGTGCAACTCCTTTAATCCTGAATACCACTGAAATACAAAACTCCAATTAATTTCTTTTCTCCCCTTCCATTCTTCTTAACTTGATAGTAAAGACAGAGAGTTTTCATCTTGATGTATCTTCTTTCAACCCTTTTACAGATATGTCATTTTTTCCACTTTACTACTTATTCTCTACAGTGACATCAGTCAGATGGGAGAGGCAAGAGGTGTTAGGGTCAGTGTGGTATAAACCCATGGAGTTTAAATATCTGAAAGCATGTATACTTTTCTGTCAGACCACCTATTCCTACCATTACCAAGCTTTTCAACTAAAAATACGTTTTGAAGGGATTCCACAGAGCAGCTAGAGACTACTTATGCTGTTGCAAAACTAGCAGTGTTTTGTGGGCAGAGCTTGGAGATCATTGGTTTAGATACTGAACTGGTAAATTCCAGGCTTGATTCTGCCAGAAGCAGTCAGTCATTTCATACCTGCCTGTATAACTTTTCTGAATAAACAATGAGCAGTGTTAATTGTGAGAGTCAGGTATCTTTTTTTCATGTAAATGCAGGTATCTTAGCTGTTATATGTAGGATTAAATGCAGAGCTTTTATGTTCATTTAATATCCCTTCATTTTTAGGCATTACCCGATTGGTTTGCTGTTTGATCTCCATGCATCAAATACAGCCCTTCCTTGGAGCATCACAGTGCATTTCAAGGTAAAATTGAAATATACCTTTAGTTAAGAACAAGCGAGCGCGGATTTACATGAAATTTGGAAGCTAGGAAAGGGTTTCATAATAATTGTAAAAGTAAGTGTATGGTGTGACTTGAAGGGTAGAATGTTTTTGTTCTTCAAGGATCATCTCAAGTTTTCTGTAATTCTGCAGCTGTTCTCCATGAGATTGTCTGTGCTTTCAAATTACTTTCCTTTTAAAAATGATTCTATTATAATCTGAAAAGCCAATTTTTTTTTCCGAGGTAAATTATGAGACTCAGTACAATGGAGTGGATATAGGGGCAGAACTTTCTAGAATGTTTTTAATTCAGTCAGCTTGAGTTGACTGAAGATTGAGAAGCGCTCATCCTTCTAGGCACACAAGCATGGGTATGAGATACTGTAGAAATGCTTGAAGTCAGGGAGTGCTGTTGTACTTCCCATGGGTCCTTTTTAGAGGAAGTGAGTGAAATGAGTTTGGTCCTGTGAGAGTTTAGTCACAGGAGAGACATTATTTTGATTACACATTGTAAAACCATTAGGTCTGACTTCATAGCACTGCTGATCTTTGCTCAGAAGAGTAGTAGTGCAGGGTTAGCTTTGATGCAGGATTCTTTCGTACTCTGAAATGCGTTAAGATGATAATCCCAGGTATGTTTTGAAGTCAAAATCACAACTAGAAATCATCGTATTTAACTTCAAAATGTTAATTTATTCATTGTAAAAGAAACAATGCATTAGGAAAACTGTTTCAAAGGAAAGCACTAGGTTAGTAGGCATGGCTTGAGTGTGTGAGACTTGAGATGAAAGGGAAAGCATACTGGGAAACTGTTGTGTTTAACGTGTTTATTCAATTATTCTCTTGAAGGTGTTTTAGAAGAGGTCTTGCTAACAGGGGTAGTCTGATTCTTGTTGGAAGTGTGCACTGAAATCGTATGTTCTTATGATGTGTATTTCCAGGTGTTGAAACTTCTAAAATGACTGACTGAATATGAAGTTGGGGATGTTTTTGAAACCCCCAAGTGTAGTTGCTACACTTCTGTCTGGTATATGTCAGAGAGCTGGGATGAAGAAACTTTCAGAGTGTTTTGAAGAAACTGTAGGATGTCTAGTTTCATAAATCATGATTTAATTGTTACACATTCCAAGAGCTCTGGGAGATTAACAGTGGTGGTGTGTGGATGTTGCCATCCCAAAGTAGAGCCATCTTGAGGAAGAAGTTGCAACACCACAGTGCTTTTTAATTTCATGTAGTCATGTAAACTGGCTTTAATGTCCTTATATTGCAGTTTGCCAAAAGATTAGCTAATTTGTTTCTCTCAAAGGTGCACATTAAAGATCAGCAGCAATAATTTACTGCTAAAGCAGTGTTATTTTAAAACTGATGTAACTTGGTTTTTAAAAATAAACCACCTTGGATTAAGTACCTGCTTAACCTCTCTTCCTATTTTTGATGTAATCTGGAAGTTTATTTAAATACACCCCTTTTAATCCTTAAAGTCAAAACATAACTGAAATATATCAAAGTATGTCAAAATATTGAAGACATTTTGATGTGTTACAGTTTCTTACAGCTAAATAGTTTAGGTGTGGGACTCCTGACTGGATTATTCTTTTCATTTGTGTGTAGTTGTTTGGTTATTCTTCCAAGAGCCGTAACTTTTATTTGGTTTAATTGAACAGTATTAGATTTTTCTGGGGTTTAACATGTGCTGTCATGGCGTTCTCCTTTTACCAAAGCGTGCAGTCACCAACAGATAGCTCGAACATCTGTAGAGAGTAATTTTTAGCTTCCACCCCAATTAGTTTTCTTTGTTTAAAGTTAAAAACATGATAAAAGGTTTATTTCTGTTAAGCAGAGGTTTGAAAGTTGACAGATCATAGAATGGTTTGGGTTGGAAGGAACCTTAAAGATCATCCAGTTCTAGAACTAGCCTCATCTAGTTCTTAAAGTCCATTCTAGTTGTAGATACTTGCAGTTGTCCTCTGTTATGAATGCAGACCAAATAATAAACACACTGTTTGCATTGAAGAAACAGTTTATTCATTTGTACTTCTGGTATGCAATAAAATAACACGCACTATAGCTCCAGTAAAGTTGCAGTATACTTGCCTCAAATATTTGTAGAAGGATGAGCTTGAACAGAGTACTGAGGCCTGAGACTCATGAGAAGCTGTCGTCTGGAAGTTGTTTTTGTTACCCAGGTGTGGCTTTATGGTGAGCAGGGAAATCCTTCTTGTTATACTTATCTCATACTACTCTGGCATGCTTAGCGCTAATCATGTTCTCAGCATGGTAACCAACTCCCCAGATTTTGGGCAGTAGGTAAGAGGTGGTGAACTGCTCTGGAAATGGTAGCAGGAGAGGAAATCAGGTGTGCTAGGGTGAGGGGAAGGGCTAACGTTATCTCTCTGCTGAAGCCCTTATCTGGTGGTGCCTGCCTCTCCACCCATGACCTGATGAAGAGGGGGAGAGACTGGATCTGGTTTTGTGTAACAGCAGCTGTCTTGGTTTTCTTAGCTCAAAATCAGGTCAGGTGGAGTGAAAAGGAAATACTTTTCCATGTAGCATATGGATAAATTGTGGAACTGCTAGGAGACATTGTGGAAGCCAGAAATAAAAATAAGGGGTTTAAATTTTTTTTTTTTTTAAATAAAAAAGACCACTGAGAATAAGTAAACAAGTACCTGGATGCGCCTTCTGTCACTGGATATGTTACGGTTTTTTAATGCCCTGTTACTGGTTTAATTTTTTGCAAATGTGGCCTAAGGCAACAGGACTGTCACAGTATAAAACAGATGTTTTGTGAATTAGAACTAATACCTAAATATGGGTGAAATGGCACTATGATACCAGACTGTTTCCATCACCTTCAGTGTTTTTGGAAGTTTTATGTCAGAGGTGATTTAGTGCTCCTGTCTGTACAGATGACACCTGCTTCTTTAGGAACAAGTTTATGCTGCCAGTGTCTGCTGGCATATGAAACTAAACCAGTACTACTTGAGCTTTCTAAGACAGTGACAGTCAGTGCTTAATAACTCTTCTTTCAAAGATACGAAACACGGAGAGTGTAAGACATCACTTAAAAGACTATTTGAATTAAAGCTGCTTACGGGATCTGTTAAAACTTTCTGCATATCTCAGTTGTATAGACAGGGGTGGCTACAAGCTTGTTTACAATTGTCTCTTTCTTTGGGGAACTGAATAAAGTTTTTGTATTTGATCATTCTTTCCTCAAGTAGAAAGAAGCCAAGTAGAATTTAAAAAAAAAAAGAAACCCAAAACCCACACGTTCTACATTTGAGTATTAAACTTATTATTCTGTGCCCTAGTTTATAAATCAGTGGGGATGCTATATTTTCTGTTGGTAGTCTGATGTAGGTGAAACTTTCATATGCTTCTTGCAGATGCAGCAGTTTTATTTTTCCAAGTTATCACTTTCATGTGTGTCAGTACTTTTCTTCTAAAGAAAAGTTGACAGCGCTGAGGTTACAGGAGTGTTTTCCAGTCTTCCGCAGTGTTATCCCTGAGAACCTAGGAAAATGAATCATGCCACACCTTTGTACCACTGTGGCTAGATTCTTTCCACTAGCTTAGCTAGCTTTGACTGATTTTTTTTTTTTTTTTAATAGCTCCTTGCTGTTCTGCAGACCACACTGTGTATGTTGTCTGGAACACATCCCTAGGGAATGACATTCCCTGTAATGCAAAATTCATGGGAAGAAAGTCAGTAGGGAGATGCCTACCTGTAGAAAAACAGCAATGTCCAAAAAAACCCACTCCTGCACTTCTGTATATTTCAACATGTGTGTAGCAAAAGGTTGTAACAAAACTGTTGTTTTCATAAACTTAGCTAAAACTGCAGCTTTCAACTGAGAAAGTCAGTTTCTAGGTTCCTATTGTACTCGGCATTAGGTACATTCCACTGCTTCATCTGTTTTTGAGGGATGGCAGCGTCTCACTTGGAATTTTTGAAAGTAAAGAGCTTTTTTGATCTTGAGGTATGCTAATTCTGACTGTTCTGTTCTTCTGGATTAGTTACCAGAGTTGGGTGGTTGGTTTTTCTTGTTTGTTTTTATTTGAGCAAGTAAGTTAAACTTCTAAAAGTATTTTACTCAGGTGGTGAGTAACAATCCCAGTAATATGTTCCATTCATCTTGGTCCCAGTTGTGCTGAGACACTCAGCTGTTTAGGGGAGAAAGGGAGCGAGGTGTGCCCTAGGAGAACTTTCCTTTCTGTTCTGTCCTCCGTAACGTACTTATGCTTGGCCATCCTCATGTAAGAAGCAAGCTTTATCTCTGTCCTTAGATTTCTAGTTGGCTTTGCATATGTCAGTCCTAAGTAACAATAGCACTCACTCCCTTTGCGAGTTCAACACCAAACTGCGTATGCTTTGGTGGAGAAAATATTAGCAGTCTTCTCTTCCCTGTATACTTCTGGCTTTGCAAGATACTTATCCTTTTGATCCACAGTTTTCAGAGTCTGGGTTCGCTGTTGGAGGAATCTTGATACGAAATTACATTATTTAATTTCCAATTCTTTTCAATAACCTCATGAGGTATTATTCTTGTCCTCAGGATTTCCTTCAGATAATGCAATCCCCAACTCCCTTTCATATTGCCAACTGTTCTTGGATATTTTGAGTTCTTGTAGTTTGAAGCAGTCTTCACTATTTTTCCTGGGTTTGTATGGAGGGAGGAAGGTATGGGTTTTTCCAGCATTATATTGCTCCTACTGTGACATGTTAACTATGTTGTAAAAGCTTTTGAAAAATATCCTGTTATATGTACTTGTATTTCCAAAATGGTTTTGACAGTCCCTCACAGAAGTTTTTTTTAACAGCTAATTTGTAAAGGATTAAGAGGAAAGGTCCTCTTGTGGAATAGCAGATGAGAATTGAAATAGGACAAGCCCTTGTTATGAAGGGGAGTGCTAATGATGCCACTCTGGCTTGGCTCTGAGGGTTGCACTGTTCAGCATGGTAAGCAACTGTGAAAAAAAGATGAATAAGGAGGGGATAAAACATGTTTTTTTTTTTTTTTTTAAAAAAAACTTTGAAAATGAAAGACAGTTAATTTGTGATACTGAATGCTTACATTATTTTAAAATGGCAACTGATCCTAAGTGTTGATAAAGGAAAAAAATAGAGGAAGAAGATCCCTAGCTGTATAGCTATACAATGCTGAACTTAAGGTCATAAAATGGTTTGGGTCAGAAGGGATCATAAAGACCATCTAGTTCCAACCCCCCTGCCATGGGCAGGGACACCTTCCACTAGACCAGCTTGCTCAAAGCCTCGTCCAGCCTGACCTTGAACACTTCCAGGGATGGGGCATCCACAGCTTCTCTGGGCAACCTGTTCCAGTACCTCACCACCCCCTCCATGAAGAATTTCTTCCTTATGTCTAATCTAAATCTAACCTCTTTCAGTTTAAACCCATTAGCCCTTGTCCTGTCACTACAGGCCCTTGTAAAAAGTCCCCCCCAGCTTCCTTGTAGCCCCTTCAGGTACTGGAAGGTGCAATAAGGTCTCCCTGGAGCCTTCTCTTCTCCAGGCTGAACAAGCCCAACTCTCTCAGCCTGACCCCATAGCAGAGGTGCTCCAGCCCTCTGAGCATCTTCGTGGCCTCCTCTGGACTCAATTCAATCAATCCATGTCCTTCTTCTGACTAATTAATTTCCAAATAAGTCTTTTTGGTATCTGAACAAGATTTGCTACCCTAATTCCCTAATAAATGAATTAGAAAAGATAGTTGTCATTCACTGAGGCGATAAAAGTCACCAGAGAATAGTAACTATGCATTTGCAATGCTGAATACAGTGCACCAACTTTAGCTGACTAAAAGGTGTATGAAATCAACTCACATGGAGTAGGGAAAAGGTAAAGTTGAAGCTAACAAGGATTTCCAGTCTCTTCAAAGAAAAATGTTTGGTAGTGGCATATATGCTATAGTTCATATATGTGGATGATGATACTTGGGGGAAACACGTTTCAAAGTCCTGCATAGAAGTTGGTGCTAAACTGTCATTGAGAGTCAATAGGAATTGGGCGCTTGTCACTTCCTTCTTCCCCTTCTGTTCATTGCGTTGAAGCTAACAAGGATTTCCAGTCTCTTCAAAGAAAAATGTTTGGTAGTGGCATATATGCTATAGTTCATATATGTGGATGATGATACTTGGGGGAAACACGTTTCAAAGTCCTGCATAGAAGTTGGTGCTAAACTGTCATTGAGAGTCAATAGGAATTGGGCGCTTGTCACTTCCTTCTTCCCCTTCTGTTCATTGCCAGAAGATTGAACATCTGCTTGAAAAAAACGTTAACTCTTCATTTCCTGAATTTTGGATTGGTCCTTGCATCCAAAATTCAGGAAATTAAGTTTTAACATTTAGATGTGTTCTTCGAGTTGAGGTTGCGTGATTTAGAGTAATTTCTGGTTTTACAGAAAATCGTTCATGTTTTATTTTTCCTGAAATATTTTGCACTGTAAAACCTTTTTTGTCAGCAGAGGGAATGGTTTTCCTTCTTCCATGAGTAGAAGATTCCAGTATGCTTCTTCTGTATGAATACATAAACCTGATTAAAATTATCATTTATTCTTAATCTTCTAAGGTGTGTGATGGGTTTATTTCTCTTGATCTATCTTTTTCTCTTTGTAGAATTTTCCAGAAAAGGATCTTCTACACTGCCATTCTAAGGATGTGATTGAAGCTCATTTTATGGCTTGTATAAAAGAAGCAGATGCTTTAAAGCACAAAAGTCAAGTCATCAATGAAATGCAAAAAAAGGATCATAAGCAACTGTGGATGGGATTACAGAATGGTAAATATAATGCATCAAAATTGTATTTTGATCTAGCATGCTAATTAATAACTTCACATTTTAGTCATGGTACAGACTATAAAATGTCATTGTTCTGCAGAATTTTAGTCTAATGTCACAGAAAAGATCTATTTTTTTAAAATGTCACCATTTATGTGATAATTCAAATGTGGCTTGAGTTATTCAAGAAAGTAAATTGAGTCATGACTGTTTTAACAAATCAAAACAAGCAACAAAAAGATAAATCTTGTCTAGTGTACTCTTGTGGAACTGATGGTCTTCAGGTCTCTGTCTGGAAGATACCTGGGGTGTGTTATTCAGTATTAACTGTCTTGGACTGGGTAGTAAAAAAGGTTGTCTCCTCTAGTTTATGCTTAAGTGTTGTCACTGATAAACAATACAGGTGAACTTTCAAAAAAGTTCCTCAGTAGGTTAATAATTTTAATTTTCCTTATGCCAAATTTTTTTCTTATTGCTGATGTTACTATAGCTCTCACAAAGATTTCTGCATTGGTAAGTATTGGCTTGAGAAAGTCAGAAAAATAATTCAGAACAGGATGTTCTAAAATTATTAGTTTTCTTACTTTGCACAGATGGCATGAACGTATATTGCAGTGCAAGATATGACTTCTTTTGTTTTTAGTGTCTCTTCTTTCTTATCATGGTTCTTAGAGGCCTGTAAGTTGAAAAGCTTTAAGTATTTCAGAAATTGATATCTGGAAAGGGTGGTAATGCCAATTTCAATCAATTTTCTTCATCTCCTGAAGCTGTCATATTATTACTGGTAAATTTATTTTACAGAAGCGGTAAGCATGAAGGTAAAAAATACTAAACACTTTAACATATTCCAATTTGTTTATAAGAAAAATTAAATGAAACAGGAAAAGCTTTGAATGCAAGAAGACTTGGGGCATGTGTTTGCTTTAGACAGTGAGATTCTAAATTAGTTTGTGTTTAATGTTTGTATTTAGTGAGTGTATGGGTTTTCTAATTTTTTTAAATTATTATTTAATGGTACTGCCTTTCATATTAAAGGTATTCCTGTAATTTTGAAGGTTGAGTGCCTATTAAAAACTCTGGTTATTTTTTATTTAATTGAAGAAGAGTTAGAAATTGAGGTATTATCTTAATTTGCCTTTTGAGTGGTAAGATCTTGAGGGATGCTGTACATACCTGCAAAATGTATCAAGTAAGAAGTTGTACTTTATCTGGTTCAATTTAAAGTACTTCTTGAGAGATTGTTTTGTGTATTTATTAGCCAGCAAACTGACTGATAATGTGTTTACTTTTGTGAATTAGCAGTAAATGAGACTTTTGGTCCACTGGAAGCCAGAATTGGTATAAAACCAGATGTTTCTCTAAAGCTTACATTTTTACAAGTCAATTTAAGCTGAAATTTTAATAATTCTTTGAAAGAAGTATTCTGCTGTAATAGTATTTGTCTTGCAAGCAGTTTAGTTCAAGAGAAGCAAAATGCTGTGCCAGCATAATTTTGTTTTCTATTTCAAGAATTATTAGGCCTTATTGCAAAGAGAAATCCTGTCACTTAGTCCTGGTGCTCAGGTATTCCCAGCAGTGCTCTTCATGTGCTCTTCTTATTAAAGCTATTTAAAGTTAAAACTAAAATACCTCTAACATGAGTTATAATGTGAGTATAATGAGTTATAATACGAGTACAATAATGCCAGAAGTGTTGACTGCAGAATGAAATTGCACGAGTTAAGGTTCTGTTCTTCACCAGAAGTTTCAGAACAAAAATACCCTCAATATATAAGGTCAGAGAACACATATGCGCTGTGTTCTTTCTGTGATCATCTGAGGCTCTATCTTTTAGTTGATTATTTTTCAAAGACTGTCTTCAGTTTGAGGGAAACCAAAATTTTACTGTTTTGCTTTATGATGTTGAGAAGAGAGGTTGCCTAGCAAGGTTGATTTCAAGAAAGTTTCACTGTACTTAACAAGAAATTGCACCTGTGGAATCTGACACCTAAATGAGAAGTTTAAACAATCTTTTGAATACTTTCAAATGCTAATTTTAATTTCTCAGTGCTTCATAAAAGAGAAACAAGAAAAGCTTGTGAAACCAAGAAAACTCTTTTTAAGCATGTTGTATCTTTCAGTATGTTTTTATAGGCTTTCGTTTGAGATGTAATAATATTAAATCTCTTTGTGAAACAGAATGAATGACCACAAAAAAGAAAAGAAAGTAGCATTTGTGATAACTGCCTTGTAAGTAAATGGTACATCTGCAGTCATCTTTTTTTTCAGTGAAGCGATTTTCTGCAGTTCTTACATGTAAGAAGTGTTATTTGTTCAACAAGCGATAGCAATACTTAGAAAATTTTGTATTAAACTTACATTTTTGGGGAAAAAAATGTCTGATTTTACATTTCTCCAAACAAGGAACTAACAATTACAAGTGTAAATTGGCATAAATGTTTCTGCTAAGAAGGAAGTACTTAAACAGGTAGCATGAGAAACTGAAAATTTTTAGGGGAAGAGCTGTAATAGTGGATTTGTGGCAAAACGTTTAGCTGGTAACAGCTGGTAGGTATTCATAACCACCTTTACATCCCTCCTCCCATGATTTCTGTTTTTGGGTTAATCTGCTACCAAAGCAGGAAGGTAAACATACTTTTCTATTACTTGTGCTGTGGTTTTGCTTATTCTTCAGACTTCAGTCAGACAATATTTGCCCATAAACCAGATATTTCTTAGCTAGAACACTTCTTTGGGATGGGTATATCTGTGCTGCCCTAATTTTGACCAGCATCGTGTATATCTGTCTGTGGTAGGGAAGTGGTAAAGGCAGGCTATATAGCTATACTGACCTCTGTTCCTTTGTAAGAATTGTTAAAATTCTTTGGTCAGAATTGATGGAAAATGTTACTACTGTTCTTGCTTTAATGGTGTTATGGCCATTTTTATCATGGATGAAGAGGATTTTCAAGTGAGTGGGGGTTTTCTTCTTCTTGCCTTTTGTGTGGAAAAATAAAGGCTTTCAGCTTTGAAACATTAAGACTCTGTGGGACTAGCAATGACTCAGGATCAAATGAAATCTCAACTGTTTTAGGGGCAAAGCTATATTCTTTTGCATGGTTCAAAGAATTAATATCTGTAACTTCAGTATATAATGGTTCTGATAAAGGAGGGTTTTTAGATTCAACACAGCTGCTTTTCATCAGTTGTGGAAAGACATAAGCAACCATGCCCTGAAATTTTCACAGGCATCCTTTAAAACTGGTGAAGACTAGACTTGGTATTTCTGATATGTGAGTGGGGGAAATAAACAGTAAAAACTCATGGACATTTTTAAGGCTTCTTTATATATTATAAAATATAATGAAGTCATTATTTTACTGAAAACATTATGGAAAAAGATTGTAATGCTCATTCATACTGCAGGGCTTACCAAAAGTTAAGTGGTCATATTGAAGTGTTCTTATTAAAGGAGAAAAACATTCAGAATATGCAATATTTTATCTTTTAATGCATGTGATCTCTATTGTGCCTCACTGACAGAATCAGGCCTGTGTTTTCTGGCATTTCTTTCTAAATCATATTTAAACCAGTCCTGGATTTTTGAGGGGCAGAAGTCCTGTTTTTTCTGGGTTATCACATTCCTGTTTAGAAATATTTGAATTACCAGAAAGAAGTGTGTCGTACGTTATCAGCAACTCTTGTGCTGTGTACACATGGCCCACTCAGGTTTGATATGTAGGGTTCTCCTCTTCGTAGGGAAGTGGTAGGAGCAATGCCGTTCTCTACCTCAGTCCATGATATGATGAGCATGCTTTGGTAGCTGAATAAATCTCTCATAGAATCACAGAGTGGTTTGGGTTGGAAGGGACCTTAAAGGCCATCTAGTTCCAACCCCCCTGCCATGGGCAGGGACACCTTCCACTAGACCAGGTTGCTCAAAGCCTCATCCAGCCTGGCCTTGAACACTTCCAGGGATGGGGCATCCACAGCTTCTCTGGGCAACCTGTTCCAGTGCCTCACCACCCTCTCCGTGAGGAATTTCTTCCTTATGTCTAATCTAAATCTAACCTCTTTCATTTTAGCTTTCATCTCAACTGGTCATTTGAAGCTTAAATTAGGCACCTAAGTACTTGGAAAATCTTCAGGAAATTAACAGGAGAATAAATGAACAAGCATTAGTTTTTAAATCACAAAGCCATCTTTTTTCCTTCTTCTTTATATTGCTACTAAAATGATAATACCTTGCCATGTTCTATCTGTAGAGATTCGGATAACTGTGAAGAAAGACTAAGCAATTCTTTTGAGCTTTGAAAATGGGTGTATTGGTTAAAAGAGAATCAAAAAATAAGAAGTCATTACCTTCCTGGGCTGCTGGTTAAAAATTCCTGGAAGTGCATTAAGTTTTCTTATAATTAGTATCAATACGTGCTTATTCTGCAGTTCAGGTAGCATGGCATATGCCAAACATTGGGGTTGCTGATCTTAGGGAACCCAGGGGGTTCCAGGTTCAAACTGGCTGGACCTGCAGGATGGATCAGATGCATCAGAGCAGGCCTTCCCAAGGATTTATTCTTTGGTGGTGGTGATTTTTGTTTGGGGTTTGTTTGGTTGTGGCGTGTTTTTCTGGTAATGGATTGTGACCTAGGCTTGTCAATTCTGCCGTGTTTACTGGCTTGTTACCTTTTCTGCACAAATGACTGAACTCATGCTCCCACCATACGGGTGCTGTATCATGGTTCTAAACTGTCGCCCCCACCCAAAACTGGCTTTTGCCTTGTTCCTCCACTGTGCTGACCTGGTGCCTACTGGCACAGCTGCCCTCTGTCGCAGTGCGAAGGTGGGGAATTGATGGCAGCCTGAATGTCCCCACTTTGGTTTTCTCTGCCCCACTCAGAGCTGAGCTGCTCTGTTTGTGGAGCAGTGGGAATCCGTGGGCCTCAAAGGAAGGCATGAACTGCACCGAGGCAGAAAAGGGAGGAAAGCAAAAGGTAACCCAGCAGTCACAATACTACTTTATA